ATCTCAAAAAAATCTCAAAAAACTCGTTAGTCAGGACACTCGTAAGTCAAGGCCCCGCTGTAATTAAATTCTAGGAAATTTCAACCCCATTTCAATGTTTTTCAGACACAACATATGTACACAAACATGAATGGAGGTTCTTGTATTTCTCCCTGGGGAGTTTGTCAGGGTGTCAGAGTGAGTCACAGTATTTTACCCAAACTCCACACAGGGTCTCACTCTTTAATTTGCATAAAAATCACCCCTGTTAGTTTTTTATAAATACAGAGTCCTGGCGCCACCGACCCTGTCTGGCTCCGGGAGTTCTGGCCGCTCCGGGGTCGGCACCCCCGCTGTGCGGGCCACGCGGGAGGGAGAAGGGTCCGCGTTCCAATCGGTCAAAGGCCTCGTGCTCCCTTCCTCCTCCCCGCAGGCCCGCGCTCCCGTCGGAAGGGCCCGGGGTGCGAGGTGGGCGGGAGCCGGCGCCACGCGCGTCCGAGGGTGAGGGAGGTCGACGGAAGGGGACGGGGACGCTGCCTCACCTGCGAGGTGGAAGGCGTCGAGCACGGCGTCTCCTCGAAGCGCACCCCCCGGAACAGCAGGTGCTGAGTTGGACTCCCTCGGGCGCTGGGCCGCCCTGTCAGGCTCCCCCCGACCCCGCCACGACGACCGGACAGCGGGCGCTGAGGGGACTCTGGCCTCCGCCTCCGCGGTGAGTGACAGGGGCAGCTCCTTGGGACGCTCCTTGGTCCCGCCTCTCCGGTGAGTGGCAGGGGCAGCTCCCTGGGACCCTCCTTGGGCCCGCCTCCGCGGTGAGTGACAGGGGCAGCTCCTTGGGACGCTCCTTGGTCCCGCCTCTCCGGTGAGTGGCAGGGGCAGCTCCCTGGGACCCTCCTTGGGCCCGCCTCCGCGGTGAGTGACAGGGGCAGCTCCTTGGGACGCTCCTTGGTCCCGCCTCTCCGGTGAGTGGCAGGGGCAGCTCCCTGGGACCCTCCTTGGGCCCGCCTCCGCGGTGAGTGACAGGGGCAGCTCCTTGGGACGCTCCTTGGTCCCGCCTCTCCGGTGAGTGGCAGGGGCAGCTCCCTGGGACCCTCCTTGGGCCCGCCTCCGCGGTGAGTGACAGGGGCAGCTCCTTGGGACGCTCCTTGGTCCCGCCTCTGCGGTGAGTGGCCGGTGCAGCTCCTTGGGACCCTCCTTGGTCCCGCCTTCACATTGAGTGGCAGGCGACTCAATTTATAATAGCGGAATTATTATAAATTCCGCTTTTGCGCCAGAGACCCCGCTGCAGGAAGCAAGACTATTTATTTTTTATTTTATTATTTGTTTACACTTTTTAAAAAATATGTTTTTATTGATTTCAGGGAGGAAGGGAGAGGGAGAGCGAGATAGAAACATCAATGACCAGAGAGAATCATGGATCGGCTGCCTCCTGCACGCCCCCCACTGGGGATTGGAGCCAGCAACCTGGACGTGTGCCCTGACCAGGACTGGTTCCTAGGTCCACGCTCAACCACTGAGCCACGCCAGGGGACGCAAGTCTACTTTGAAAGTGATTCTTCTATCATCCAGCATTTATCTTCTACTGACATTTTTATTATTCAAAAATTCTCCCTTGAATAAGAAGAGTAGTTCATCTGGAATATCACAACTCAGATGCATCATTAATATCCTAATGCATTCTTTATGGTGGTGAGTAATACCCTGAAATGAGAAGTCACTGAAGATAAAATATTGCTCTATCATGTTCCATTATGGGAGGAAATACTTTTAATTAAAGCAAAGCCATCGCAACTGGGGGGGGAATGGGAAGAACTTGGGATATTTTTCTATCGCCAGGCTCACCTTCCTGTTTGGAATGCCTGAAAAAATCAAGTCTTGTTTTATGCAAACGGTTGATATGAACCAGCCTTAGAAATGCAGAATCACTGAAGTGTGGTGAACAAATCGTGAGGGCCCTCTTACTTGCTCTGCCCTGTGTCCACAAATAGTTAAGACCAGGAAACTATTTTGGTAGCATTCAGGTCATTAAACAAGAATCCTTTTGTTTCCAGTGAATTTTCTTTTTGGAGGGAACACTTTATGACCACTGACAAATGATTTGCCTAAGACTAGATCACTGGCCCCCTTTCTAACTGAATGTAAACTTCAGTTTGTGTGTGTGTGTGTGTGTGTGTGCGCGCGCCAAGTGTCATTCCTTATATCCGTTATGTTTCAATATAACTTCTAACTTGTCTATATATGTGAAGGCTACTGATACACTGATAACCAGCTATTTTGTGGCTTTCTCTCAGAAATCCATCTTTTGCCATAGTTTATCCATGGGCGATTTGGGGGTTCTTAGAAATATAATCAAATCATCGGCAAGTAGGGATACTTCACCTCTTCATATTCGAACTGTCTCCGTGTCTAATTATATCTGTTCTTACCTCCAACAACACTTGCACAGCAGTGGTACCAAACATCCTTCTTTACGTTTCACCTAATTCTAACCACCTGTTCCCTGGAAATAGGTGCTGAATTTTGAACTGAAGTGTGTGTGTGTGTGTGTGTGTGTGTGTGTGAAATAATATTAAGATACTATCCATCAATTCCTATTTTATTAATATTTGAAACAAGTAGGTTTTGGATTTTGTCATGACTTGTTCTTATCCTCAGAGATGTCCAAATGGACATCTACTAATATGAAAACTTGTATTCCTGGAGCCTTGCACATGAGCCACTCTTGGATCCCTGGAATGAACCTCACATGGCCATCATGTAGGTTTTATGTTTTCATGCCACACTGGTTTCCTTTTTAAATAATGTATTTCAGATTTCTGTATCAATATTCTTCAGTGCAATCGATCTATATTTTTGCAAAGTAATTTTAAGACTTTTTAATCTATGTTATACATACTTGGTGAAATAAAACTTGGAACTTTTCTTCTTTTACTATACTTTGAAATAATTTAAGTAGCCTTATTACATAGGGATTATCTGACTTTGTATTTCTTACCAAAAAAAATAATTTTACTACTTTATTTTCTGATAATTACTCTATTCAGACTTCCTGCAGTAAACTGATTTTTTCTGAAAAATCATACATTTCATAAAGATTTCAAATCCACTTGCATTTAATTGAGCAAATGATTCTCTCTCATCATTGATGTTTCTATCTCTCTCTCCCTCCCTTATAATTTCATTTCCTCTATTTTGATCATTATCCCTTTCCTGCCCTTATTTAAATTCAAATATTTAAATATTTGTGCTTTCTCCTTTTTTCTTGACTAATGTTTGGTTATTGATGTTTTCAAAGAACAAATTTATTAATTAACTCATCAGTTTCCTTTTTATCTTTATTAATTCCATCCTGTTGCTTTCTTTTGTTTACTTTGTTGTTCTTTTTCTAGTTTTTTATAATTTGGTTGTTTAATTTCTTTTTAAAATTTTATTAATATATCCATTTAATAATAAATATTTTTTTCTGAAAACTTCCTTAGTTATATCCCACATAATCTAAAAGATCATGTATTCATTTATACTACGTCCAAGAAATTCTTCAATTTTGTTTGCTATTTCTCATTTGACCCAAAATTTATTCAATGGTATGCTTTTTAATTTTCAGGTAGAAGGAACTTTTGTGTGTTTTTAGTCTTTTTAAAAAAATATTTAGGTTTATTCCATTATAGTCAGGTTTGTATTTCTTTGGAATTTACTGAGATTTTCTCTGTGGCTTAAAATATGATCAAATATGGTCCACATTATTTAATATTGTATATGAAGCCTTGAAAATATGTATACCTTCTTTCAGATTTAAACAGAGGTCAACCTCATTGACCTTTTACATTAAGTAGTTTTCACTTATTTTTTCCAGTTAATAAGTAACAGAAACAAAAATAAAAAGCCATCCATACAAAGGGTATACAGTAAACACCTATAATGACGAATGATGAATAACTAGCTGGAACCATCCGATTTAATGTTTACATTTCTTGCAGGAAAATCTATGCTACCATCACGAACCCATGCTCTCTGGGGCCAAGAGCAGCCGGAATAAATATCCTAGGAGCGTGAGCCAGTCTTCTGAAGAAGTCCTGCTTTTGATTAAAAGATTCTCTAGCTCATGATGTTTCTGGGACGATTTCCAGGAGCCCATACATAATTCACAGTGGCGGACTACTCACGGCCAACAACGCTTGTTCTCCCAACCTTTGTAACGAATGCAGGGGAGGCCAAAGTGAGGGGGGAAAGGGTCACCTCCGATTTCCTACCAACGAAAGCCAAGTCCGGATATATCTCCATGAAACAAATCTATACCCAGGCTTGTGTGTTTTATGTCATGTTGAACATCATAACCATCTCAGGGCTGCCCAGTGCCAGCCAGTACAAAATATCAGAAACCATAAGGACAGAGCACATTCCTCCCTACGGGCCCGAGAATCACCTGGCTCTTCCTCTTTCCGGAACGTTCCAGGAGTTAGTAGTGCTCACTGCTGTGTCATCCCCCTCTGCTCCAGGGTCTCCCCGGCAGAAGGCCTTCCCCTCCCTCTGTGGCGGGGAGCCCCCCACCTCATCACACGCTGCCCCATTTCCCTGCTTTGCCTGTGGCCCTTAGTTCTGAGATCACATCACGCATTTGCTGACTCGTCCGCTGGAAAATAAACATCACCGGAAGGACTTTTCCATTTTCGTGCACAATCATCTCTGAGATATCCGTAAGGAGTAGGGGCTCAGTTAAGAACCTGCCCAATGAGTAGCAACACTGGTCATGCCCAATTCATGCCCAATCCACAGAAAACAGTAGCGTGCCCATAAATGACCTCCATGTCTATAAGTGACCTCCATGACCTTAAATGACCTCCATGCCCATAAATGCAAGTGACCTCCATGCCCACAAGTGACCTCCATGCCCATAAGTGACCTCCATGCCCATAAGTGACCTCCATGGCCGTAAGTGACCTCCATGCCCATAAGTGACCTCCATGCCCATAAATGACCTCCAGCAAACCCGGACTCCCAGTGGCCTCCCAGCGGGACCGCACCTTGGAATTGGAGGTGGACTCCAGGAAACAGAGCCTGTTGCCAAATCCTTCCGCCGCCAGGCACAGTTTCTGCTGCTCCTTGTGGGCGGCCGCCGTGCACTGCAGCACCACCTCGTCGTCCTGTATTTCTTTGGGACAGAGGGACAGAGGGACAGTGAGACAGAGGGACAGTGAGACATGGGCAGTCTGAACCAGAGCTACAAGCATACACCTCAGTGCACTGCAAACACCAGGGTAACATAACAACTGCCAGAAAACATGACCTCCATGCCCATAAGTGCCCTCCATGCCCACAAGTGACCTCCATGCCCATAAGTGACCTCCATGCCCATAAATGACCTTCATGCCCATAAGTGACTTCCATGCCCATAAGTGATCTCCATGCCCACAAATGACCTCCATGCCCATAAGTGACCTCCATGCCCATAAGTGACCTCCATGCCCATAAGTGACCTCCATGCCCATAAGTGACCTCCATGGCCATAAATGACCTTCATGGCCGTAAGTGACCTCTATGCCTATAAGTGACCTTCATGGCCATAAATGACCTCCATGGCCGTAAGTGACCTCCATGCCCAGAAATGACCTCCATGCCCATAAAC